GTGCATTGGGCAATCCCTGTTATTTTCAAATGTTTTTCATCTTTGATACTGGGATTTAACCAATCAAGGTTAAAGCCATTTATCAAAGTTAAATACATGTACCTTATTTTTTATTTTGATCGGGTTCGGCTGACAGTGTATGTTAGCCAACCCGAATTCAATTATTCCTCTCTTTCCCGGGGTTAGTAGTGTCACCTTAATAGTACATTTGACGTCACACCACGTTGTGTCATCAGTTGACGCTGAAACTTTCACCCACCCTCCCTATCCCTGTCAACCAATAGTTGAATTATATAAATAGGCAAAATGCAAGTGTGCGTTTCTTTCTTTTTTTTCTAACCAAGTGAAAATAATCCATGGTTTCCTTTGCATTATTTTGAATTGTTTTTCTGCCGTATTTGTATTTTATTTTTTCAGAGTGTTCGTGTAGCTGACTTCGTTTATAGAAGAACACCTCGTCACGGTCGCCCCTTTGTGTCAGTCTTTACCAACAGTCAAGGGACCTGCAGCTATTAGGCTCACCAGTAGGCTTTTCGGAACTTATTGTCATTTAATTGAATATTTTGTGTGCATTTTGGACTAGTCACGAAAGGTGAACATCTGTTCCCAGGGTTCCCTTTGCATTTTTAGGGATGCCATTACAAGGCAGAATATTGATGCCTCGGCTCCCCCATTTCAGCGGCCGTGGCCCATTCAGCCAAATAAAATAGTTTCTAAATTTTCCTTTGCTTGTTTGTCATTGAATGCTACAAGGAAATGTGTGCATTGGGCAATCCCTGTTATTTTCAAATGTTTTTCATCTTTGATAATGGGATTTAACCAATCAAGGTTAAAGCCATTTATCAAAGTTAAATACATGTACCTTATTTTTTATTTTGATCGGGTTCGGCTGACAGTGTATGTTAGCCAACCCGAATTCAATTATTCCTCTCTTTCCCGGGGTTATTAGTGTCACCTTAATAGTACATTTGACGTCACACCACGTTGTGTCATCAGTTGACGCTGAAACTTTCACCCACCCTCCCTATCCCTGTCAACCAATAGTTGAATTATATAAATAGGCAAAATGCAAGTGTGCGTTTCTTTCTTTTTTTTCTAACCAAGTGAAAATAATCCATGGTTTCCTTTGCATTATTTTGAATTGTTTTTCTGCCGTATTTGTATTTTATTTTTTCAGAGTGTTCGTGTAGCTGACTTCGTTTTAGAAGAACACCTCGTCACGGTCGCCCTTTTGTGTCAGTCTTTACCAACAGTCAAGGGACCTGCAGCTATTAGGCTCACCAGTAGGCTTTTCGGAACTTATTGTCATTTAATTGAATATTTTGTGTGCATTTTGGACTAGTCACGAAAGGTGAACATCTGTTCCCAGGGTTCCCTTTGTATTTTTAGGGATGCCATTACAAGGCAGAATATTGATGCCTCGGCTCCCTCATTTTAACGGCCGTGGCCCATTCAGCCAAATAAAATAGTTTTTAAATTTTCCTTTGCTTGTTTGTCATTGAATGCTACAAGCAAATGTGTGCATTGGGCAATCCCTGTTATTTTCAAATGTTTTTCATCTTTGATACTGGGATTTAACCAATCAAGGTTAAAGCCATTTATCAAAGTTAAATACATGTACCTTATTTTTTATTTTGATCGGGTTCGGCTGACAGTGTATGTTAGCCAACCCGAATTCAATTATTCCTCTCTTTCCCGGGGTTAGTAGTGTCACCTTAATAGTACATTTGACGTCACACCACGTTGTGTCATCAGTTGACGCTGAAACTTTCACCCACCCTCCCTATCCCTGTCAACCAATAGTTGAATTATATAAATAGGCAAAATGCAAGTGTGCGTTTCTTTCTTTTTTTCTAACCAAGTGAAAATAATCCATGGTTTCCTTTGCATTATTTTGAATTGTTTTTCTGCCGTATTTGTATTTTATTTTTTCAGAGTGTTCGTGTAGCTGACTTCGTTTATAGAAGAACACCTCGTCACGGTCGCCCTTTTGTGTCAGTCTTTACCAACAGTCAAGGGACCTGCAGCTATTAGGCTCACCAGTAGGCTTTTCGGAACTTATTGTCATTTAATTGAATATTTTGTGTGCATTTTGGACTAGTCACGAAAGGTGAACATCTGTTCCCAGGGTTCCCTTTGCATTTTTAGGGATGCCATTACAAGGCAGAATATTGATGCCTCGGCTCCCCCATTTCAGCGGCCGTGGCCCATTCAGCCAAATAAAATAGTTTCTAAATTTTCCTTTGCTTGTTTGTCATTGAATGCTACAAGGAAATGTGTGCATTGGGCAATCCCTGTTATTTTCAAATGTTTTTCATCTTTGATAATGGGATTTAACCAATCAAGGTTAAAGCCATTTATCAAAGTTAAATACATGTACCTTATTTTTTATTTTGATCGGGTTCGGCTGACAGTGTATGTTAGCCAACCCGAATTCAATTATTCCTCTCTTTCCCGGGGTTATTAGTGTCACCTTAATAGTACATTTGACGTCACACCACGTTGTGTCATCAGTTGACGCTGAAACTTTCACCCACCCTCCCTATCCCTGTCAACCAATAGTTGAATTATATAAATAGGCAAAATGCAAGTGTGCGTTTCTTTCTTTTTTTTCTAACCAAGTGAAAATAATCCATGGTTTCCTTTGCATTATTTTGAATTGTTTTTCTGCCGTATTTGTATTTTATTTTTTCAGAGTGTTCGTGTAGCTGACTTCGTTTTAGAAGAACACCTCGTCACGGTCGCCCTTTTGTGTCAGTCTTTACCAACAGTCAAGGGACCTGCAGCTATTAGGCCCACCAGTAGGCTTTTCGGAACTTATTGTCATTTAATTGAATATTTTGTGTGCATTTTGGACTAGTCACGAAAGGTGAACATCTGTTCCCAGGGTTCCCTTTGCATTTTTAGGGATGCCATTACAAGGCAGAATATTGATGCCTCGGCTCCCTCATTTTAACGGCCGTGGCCCATTCAGCCAAATAAAATAGTTTTTAAATTTTCCTTTGCTTGTTTGTCATTGAATGCTACAAGCAAATGTGTGCATTGGGCAATCCCTGTTATTTTCAAATGTTTTTCATCTTTGATAAATGACATTTTTGAAATTAAATTTGTTAAAATGTACACAAATAATCCAAAAATGCCTTCTTGACGTTAAGAATAACGCTCCGCTGTTTACATTTGCTTAGCGACCGACGTCATAACATCTCGAACCCGAGCTAAAATGCGTAACGTAGAAACACGTGAACGTGATCGAAAGGATGACATTACTGTTTCCGGCGGGGTTGACATAACTGTTTCCGGCGTGACATAACTGTTTCCAGTGTGACTCAGCATTTTTCAGGGTGTATAGCGAAACTTATTACATTTGTGATATAATAAGAAAACTTATTCAAAAATGTAATATATATTTACATGTTTATATGATTGAATCACCAAACATACTGTATACTCAATATTTGAATTTTATCCTTACACGTTGATGTAGCCTCATCGTGACGTCGAGTTATTGCAGGTTTCTCCATGTATATTTCTGCTCGTGAGTAGATACAAAATGGTATTCCAATTAATTTCACATTCGGTTTAGTAGAAAAACACAACACAGCAAATTGGAATATTTGTTTGTTTCATATTTCAACTAGTAGTAGTAAGTATTTATCAAGTAGTAGTATTTATTTGATACCATGTCATCATGCATAACTTAAATACACATACACTGTAATTATACATGATCTTATGAAAGACAAAAGTGGTAATACAGATTTCATAAATGAATAATTAAGGTAGCAATATTTAAAAAATACATTTTCAATGTGACTAAGAAATAACATTCTTACTGCAAGGTCAACCACGTTGAAAACCGAAAAAATAAAACCAGATACAGGCACGATCTCTCGCGTTACACAAACGATTCTAAACGATTAGTTTGCCAACGATAACGTTAAAGCCACTGTATCTTCTTTTTCAGTGACGTTTACGGGGAAATAAATCCAAATTCTAAATTTGGTAATAAATGGGGAGGGGTCTAGAAATTACATGTATTTTATGTTTTCATTGCAAATAATTTTTTCTAGGTAGTTTTATTATAAATCGAAGCCCTCCCCTCCCCCTCCCCATTAAATGATGCACAATTTCGACTAGCTTACATGAATCAAGCTAAACATTTTTATATTGGGCTCAACAATTTTTTTTTATTTTTTTTTAGTTTGCTGTCTTTATTTTCAATGTTTAATTTAAAATTATAGGATAACCTTTATTGACAAAATCAATGTTTACTTTAGTTCTTTTAAAGTGAGATAAGAAAAAGCGTATTTACTCTGACAAAAAATCAATAACATCGTCATGATGACTCAATCATATTATGGATCTCTGTAACGACAAAAACCTTTTGAAAACAGTTGATTCACCTGTATCTATGTACACTGAGCCAATATTAGATCAATATTGTTGAAAATGATCAGGAGTTTTAATTTATTTTAAAGGCGTAAATGTCTTTTTTTTTTAACCATACAACAAGTAACTTCATTATCTATTTATTTCATATAAATGTCAAGATGTTTGATGATGTTTGAATTGCATTTAATGATTTTATGCGCTTTGTTTTTTTTAGTGGAAAAATGAAACACGTTTTTTTTTTAAATTATCTTTTTATAAGTGCATGTAAATCTGTATCCATATAAATGTATAAACATCGGCATTTTTTTTTACATCTTACCTATATTAAAATTGAAAATTATGATCTAAATGGTTTCCATGGACATATAATATTAATTTTATAATGTTTATTAGATATAGATTTTGTATGAATTACGATTGCAATCAAAATATTTTGAAATAAAAGAATTCTATTTGTTCACATTGGTACTCCAAGGTTACGGTTGCACTTTTGGTTGACAATGTCTATTCAGTTTGAGGTCTCGTAATCAAAACATACCATTAAAACCAGCATATGGAGTTTATTCTTCTAATTTGATTGTGAATTGAAATATCAGCGTATATTTCCTCTACAATTGCTGAATAACATTCAGGAAATCTCTAACACTTTGAAATTCGTTAGCATTTCCGAAAACAACTTTTACAAGTTCTATTGTTTTCAATTTCATCTCCGGAAATTCATTCTTTTCGTCATTCCAACATGTTTCTTTAACCTTACATTTTGAACCTTCACTGCGAGAAATGAAAACGTCAAAGGACATCGTTTTTCCGGAAAACATCTCCCCACTTTCAAGCGTCCCCTTACAAGACAGTTCATTGTCAGAAGAACGCACTCCCATATTCCACAATAATCGCACTATTTCTGGTCTTCCAAGATATACAGCTACATGTAATGCTGTAGGGAGATCACTCCTATTTCGACCAAAGGCAATGTTCTTATTGTATTTCAGAAGTAGGTTTAGAATATCAATATAGTTATGAATAACAAGATAATGTACAATGCTGTTTTCATACTCATCAACTTTCATAAGTATGTCATCTTTGATATGTTGGACACTTTTTGTTTCGAAAATGTTGATCACATTCATATATTCTTCACTTCCTGGAAAAATCATACCCATGAACATATAAAAGGGTATATCTGTTGTAGCATTAAGCAAAGGCATACGGACTCTACATGGTCCATATCTGAGTCCAAGAAGAGCTGTCTGTAGCCAAGTAAACCCGTCTAATGTTTTTTCGGTGTAATCTTCTCCAAAATTTATGAACTTCTGCAATATAACAGATCTTCCCGCAAAAGCTGCCAAATGAGTACATGACCAGTTGTGCACTGTCTTTGTTGGTGATCTTATTTTAAGTATTTTGTCAACTATGTCTTCCCATCCATGCAAAACACAAAAATGAAGAACAGTCAGATTGGTTCTTATGTTTATCAAATCAAGCACACTATGTAGAATATGGTACTTTTGAATATAATGTAAGATACTCATTACACTAGTCCGCATCTCGAAATTACAAAACTCTCTCAACGTCCTTTCAAGAACCATTTTCGAAATTTCAAACTTGGGGATACGAATCGTAGATTTTCTCAAATTGGTTTTGTCAGGACAAGCTTTTGATTCCTCATTCTCATTTTTGGTTTCGATAATTTCGTTTTTGAGAGAATCTTTCTTGAGATCAGATTTTTGAAGCGTATCATGTTGGGGTCCAAAACGCTCTAGAAGCTCTATTAATATAACATCATTTTTGCCCCGTATAAATGGTTCTGTTAGGATCAGGAACAAGGACTCATATTCATAACTTGGGAAATTGCAATTAAAGAAAAAAGAGACAAATTCTGGGTCACAGAGTACAGGGTAGTACATTATGAGAGAGATATTTAACGTATTAACATTCATAAATTCGTCAGGTTCGCAATCACCAATATCATTTAAAATTCTCTGTCTCAAGTCTTTAAAATACTGTTTTGGAATCTTGAGAACAACTTCACCAGGTTTGGATTTATAATTTTCAGTGCAAATCAGTTCATGCATGTTTTCTGTACTACAATGCTTGATTACGACGTCTGGAGCTAGTTGTCCAAAGGATACTAAAATGGTCTCCAGAACAGTTTCATGACAGAATTTGTATAATCCATCTATTTCTGATTTTGCCAGGAAAAAACCGCTTAAATCACTTATTGCGTCTTTAATATCAATATCTAGAACATCCGATATCTTCATTTTTTCACTGATGCCTTTAAATAGGTTGCCGTTTATGCCAAACGGCTCAATGCTTCCATGAATAAAAACATAACATAAAACACAATACTTTACTTTTTCAAAGGCTGATCCACCTTTTGCCCGTCGCATGTTCTCTACTGCATCAAATAATTTTTTATCTGGTTGCTTAAAGAAGCAAGGACCAAGTTGAAAAAAGTCACGTCTTGAGAAGAACTGAAAACATGTCAATGGGAATCCATAGAATGGGTTGATGAAAAGAATCGCCTCCTTTTCGCGGTCAGAGAGTCTGTAAACAGCATTTAACCCATTTTCTCTCGAATACTGAGTAAATTCCTCTCCATATAACTCGGAGGCTTTAAAGTTGCAGTTTCCTTCATACATTGCCAGCATTTCAGCTTTATCTTTAATAGTAAAATTATCCACTGACGACAGATCAACGATATTGTCATCAAGATTTACGTGCATGAAGTGATCCTTTGCCTCATCCAATATGTTTCTTCTAAGGCCAATCAACACCAAAACATCTCTAGTTTTAGCACATGCAATCATAACATCAAGCTGGTTTCTCCATTTTTCGACTGCGCCTTTGTCTAGATTTGTTAAACCAATAACATCATCAAGAAATACAAGATATCGATAGTTAGGATTTATGACTTTCACCCATTGTTCTGGCAATTTTATTAAAACAGGGGTATATGGCGATTCTATTGAAGGATCAGACATCTCACACATGACTTGATACGCTGTAGTGGTTTTTCCTGACCCTGCCCTCCCTGTCAGAATAGCTATATGACTCTCTTTGAGTTTCTCTATAGTGTTTTGTACACCTGAGGTTCTTTTGTTGACTTTCTGCAATTTGTGAGCTTCCAAAACTGCTTTTGTATTTTCTTGATTGAAATAAAGAAAGTGACCTTGTTTAAAATTTGATATCTTATTGTATTCTTAAGTGTAATTAGTCACTTATACATGGAAATATTAAATGTCTCATAGAAGAATATACAGAAAGGCAGAAGGTATGTCTTTTTATGTTTAATTGCAAGAATATATCAAAGTTGCAAATCAACTTACCTATAATATTTCTACATTCAGAATCGACATTCTTGTCTGTAAATGGAGAAATGTTATATCAATGTTTATTATATTTCTTTCAACATAATTACATTATGAATTTACGAAATTGTACTTTAAGATTTTTTTTCATATATATTTCATATCTTATTTTTATAAATTTGAATTTTTTTTAATATAATACTTAATTAATGCTTAACCTCGTCGATTCTCTTCAATAATGACTTTATCCAGCTTAGTACCGTGTCTATATTGCTCGGCTTTCAGTTCCTTTAGCTGTGTTTGTTGTGCAACAACCATATCTACACAAAAAAAAATCAACCAACTATTGATTATTTATAACAGAGAAAAATAAAATAAACCTACATTTCTTCATTAAAATGTTACCTGAATACCCCAAAAATACGTATTATAAGACATGTTCATTGTTAAAATAAGTCTGAAATGATACCTTTGATATCCTGTGCATTTTGATGCTGTTCATCTATTTTATCAAGAAACATCTTCTCTTGTTCAGGATCCATAGTGACAGTCTTAATCAAATTTGCAGCATCTGTGTAAGTTGTGCATCCTCCAGGAAGGCTACATTCAAGCTCACCGATAATAATTGTCAATTCTTGCCAAAGGTTTTGAAAATCACTCTCAGAAAGGAAAACTGTCACCGCATGTCCACAATACGTGTTCCTGGTCTCTCTAATTCGATCGATATTGGCAGACAAAGATCTATCCAGTGGATTAGGTGATTTTGCCCATCCATTCTGATGAGCCTTTATTCCTGATACATTTCGCAATAAAATGTACAATAAAGATAAATCAAATTCTTTATATGTCCCAGTAAAATTGCCTGTTCTGGGATAAAGTAATTCTCTTTGGGCTTTATTTAAGATTGGGGTTAATGTAGTCTTCTCTGTTTGAAGAATACCTGGTAACTGAATTTCTGTCACATGATCCCTTAGAATGTCTCTAAATAGGTCAGTACAGGGATCCAACAATAGCCGGGAAACACGTGCAGCATGTGTTGTCTCCTTCGTAGATATATATTTTGAGCATGCCATTATCACACTGAAGTTATAAACATATGATCATTTTTTTTTAATTTTGTTCTTTTAACTGCTGTAATATTGTAGTAAGAATGAAACGATGATGATCAACAACGAATATACTTTATATTGATTATAGAGTCATATAATTTACCCACTAAATTTTTTACCTTATGCTGAAGAATTTCTTTGTGTAGGGAATTTGATCTGTAAAGAGATTTCAAATTACATAATTCACTTTTGATATTTGCTTTTAAGCAAAAGGTGCTATATCTTAAACAGACCTCCCTGCAGGTAAATGTTACTTTTTCTTTAATTAGCTCCGAAATAGGCAATTCAGGTTTGGTTTCTTAAAATACCTTGAAATTTACCTTGAAAAATCTACAGCCCTCATGACGCATTGGTTAGAACGTCCTCTCTAAAGTTGTGTAGCAAGTGGTTTTACCCCTTACGTGGCAGGTTCGAATCCAAATGTGGGACGTTTAGATCGTTCCTTACGATGAGATAGTATAAACTGAGGTTGCGTGTCGCAGTAGAATATGACACAAAAAAGAACCTTCCCTTCTCAGTGGCCCTGAGTGCCGAGTATAGGACAACATTTGCAGCTTTCCACCGGCAAGTGGTGCCGTTACCTTATGAGTGAAAAATTCTCGAGAGGGACGTTAAACAAGATTAAAAAAACAAACAAGAAAAACAAGTAATAGTGAATAAAGACTGTACTATAAATGAAAACAATAACGATAACTAACTACTTGTCTACAATAACTAAATATACAAATAAATAAATCGAGTTTAAGGTCAACACGAAATGTATAAACAAATAAATAAATCGAAAGTTGAAATTAAAATTTACAAATTCTAATAAGTAACTAGTATTTATCTGTTCTTGAATAATACGATTACCTTATTCAGGTTATAAATTTCCATTTGGTGTGAAATTGTAAAAAAGATCATTTTTTATATCCACCTTGAAATTCACCTTCTTCAATGACATCAATGGTTAAGTTACGGAACTCAGTAACAATCTTCGTTCATTTAAATAGCCCACATTGGTTTAAAACACACAAGGTATGGTTATTTTATTTAATGCTTCCTTATAAACATGCAATCATGGATCGAATTTTCATTTGATTTGCGTTGTTAATCTTTTTTGCGCGATTATTATCTGTTGATTTCCTCATAGCAAGCCTTCACAGTGCTGCAAAAATGATAGTTTCCTCAAATATATCTTAACAGCTGTTTAAAAACTTATGTACATATCTAAAACCCTCTACAGTCAACATTTCCCAATTATATTGCATAAATACCTCATTGAAATTTAAATTTATTACCCCGAATGCATAAAATAAAATAGTATTTGAAATTCAATAAGCAATATTCTAAAATTGATCAGAAAATACATATTCACTGCATATGGCTCATTTCAATTTTTATGCCCCATCACGAGTAAGACCGTAATATTTAGAGACTTTTTTGTCCTTCCTTCTATTTTTTATGGGTTTATGCCATTTCCTAAGTTATGAAAAAAATCAACTAAAAGACTTCCACTTGCTATTTTTACCGTAAATCACATATTTTCGATGGATAAGAATTTTGGGGTTTGAGAAAAAAAATGTTTGTGGGGATTTGATCTCATGGCTAGGATATATTAAGTAGTAATGCATATAAAGTTTTACATTTCGTGTTGACCTTAAACTCGTTGCTCTCTCTCTATACCTCGAAAACAACAAAAATTAACCCCAAACGAAAATTAGCGATTTTACAGTGTATCAATTTCATCTCTATATCAAAATACGAATATTATTTATTTATAGATGAAAACTTTTCAAGTGCATCAACATTTTATCACCTTTACAGTTCCCTTCGGCTAACCTTATATTATTACCATATTATTCATATTGGTTTGGTATAAACCCTCAAGTAGGTCTTGTTCCCCACTTTTCCCCGATTTGAACCCCAACAACTGTCTAAAATTTCCCTATTGTCTAGAAGTTTGGAAAGCGCTGTTGTATAAACTAATTTCTTCCTATATCATTCAAATAAAAAGAGGGAAGTGAGCTCACAAACCATAAAAAAAACAGCTTATCAGAAATGAGAGGCAGGCTCTTTAAAAATACACTTAAGGTCGTTCTATCCTGATTTTTTAAGTGGATTTTGGACATCCCCTTTATTTATAAAATTCTGCATCATTTTTAAATTCCAACATTAAATCCGAACTCTACAGTGCAAATTGAACTATATTCAATGAAAAATCTGTAATTAAATTCCATTCAAGTTAAACTAAGCTAGGAGCTTTATTTTGTGGCGGAATGTTTTTTTTTTGACGAAAATCAGCAGTTTTTCCCTTTTGAACTCTCAATTTACTCTTTATTTTGGATTCCTATTTCTCCATGCTGGTTGCACACAGAGCTGTTTTTTGCAGTAAAATGTTTCATACTGGTTCAGAAATATCTATTAAATTATTTATTAAATTTACACTTTTTAGTAATATATGAAAATTAACATTATATACCCCCACTCTTGATGTTCTTTTTCTAAATATGCAAGATAACTTTGACCTATCTGCTTAAATTCAGAAAAAGTTGAAGACTTTAAAATAATTTTCTTGCTAATTAAATTTTCAATTTGGCCAAAAAAGTGTAAGACTTTGAAACTCAGGATCGAATGTCTTTAAGTCCTTAATTCTTTAAATTGTTGTAGATAAATAATGTCTCATACACATAGATATATGTCACATAAATTTGTATGTGTATGCGAGAAAAAAGGAGAGAAGATAGGATACAAAATAGCAAAGTTAAGCAATTTTTGATACCCAATCCTTATCCTGATTTCTCATAATTCAAAAAGTAAACTGCGTTTAACAAATATTAACATTGTTTCTTTTATATAATAGTGCAAAGATTTAAACAAAACATTACTTTCTATAGAATAAATAGCTCCCCCCCCCTCAAACACACACACTTTTAGGAATAAACTCGAAAATTTTCTTGTCATCATATTTACCAAGTTCGTGTTTTTTTTTTTTTTTTTTTTTTTTTTTTTGCTTGAATTCAAAGAATTTTTTATTATATGCAGATCCTCTGACCTCTAGAAAGCTGACTCACATGGTTCCAATTACAGAGTGGAATGAAAAGAGTCCGGTAAAAAATCATGTGCGTTTAAGGAGACAATATGAAAACATTGTAAATGTTTCACCTGGCTTATAAGACGTTTGTTGACATTTTTATGGAGGTGATGAATTATACTTTCTTCAACTTGTTTAGTAAGTACAATCGATACATTTATGGCACGTAAATTCAGCTATTCTAATGACACTTATATTGCATTAGATCTGATAACAGACATTCCAACAAAGTCTTATGAAACATCGATTTTAAGGCGCGTTTCGAAAAAGATTTAAGAAATGGTGTTTAAACAAGGGAAGAAATAATATAGTTTTAAAACCAGACTCTTTTGCTTTGATATTTATTTCAAATCAGACATAATGCCATTCGAACATAATATTTATATCATTTTAAATAAAATACAATCTGTAATATAATGTTTGCGTATTAATGAGAAACATTATAACTTAAAATCAGAAAAACAAGATGTGTTTGTGAAACACTATGCACCCGGCGGCAACAAAGTTAAAAAAATCTATTTTTAGCATATTGGTCACAGGCAAGGTCACAAGGTCATTGACCTTGGTGTCGTTTGAAAGAACTTAATCGGTGGAGTATGCATACCAAATATGAATTTCCTATCTCCTATGGTTAAAAAATTGTGGTAAAAAGTGTAAAAAGCTATTTTTAGCAAATAGGTCACAGTCAAGGTCACAAGATCATTGACCTTGATGTCATTTGAAAGGACTTTATTAATGGAATAAGTATACCAAATATGAAGTCCCTAGGTCCTATGGTTCAAAAGTCATGACAAACAGTGGAAAAAACTATTTTTAGCATATAGGTCACAGTCAAGGTCACAAGGTCATTGATCTTGATGTCATTTGAAAGGACTTTATTAGTGGAGTATGCATACCAAATATGAAGTCCCTATGTCCTATGGTTCAAAAGTTATGACAAACAGTGGAAAAAACTATTTTTAGCATATAGGTTACAGTCAAGGTCACAAGGTCATTGACCTTGATATCATTTGAAAGGACTTTATTAATGAAATAAGTATACCAAATATGAAGTCCCCATGTCCTATGGTTCAAAAGTCATGACAAACAGTTGAAAAAAATATTTTTAGCATATAGGTCACAATCAAGGTCACAAGGTTATTGACCTTGATGTCATTTGAAAGGACTTTATTAGTGGAGTATGCATACTAAATATGAAGTCTGTATCTCTTATGGTTCAAAAGATATGGCGAAGGTTAAAGTTGACAACAGACAAACAGACAAACAGACAGGACAAAAACAATATACGCCCGGGATCTATCGATCCGGGTGCATAACAATTTTATTCAGAGTAAAATGTTAGATAGCAAAACTCCTTCACAAGTATCGTCATTCCGTTGTGTACAGAGTTTAGCAAATCGAGCACACTCGTGTTATGTACACAATTTTTGTAAACAGGGCGAGAGCTTTGTTATTGTTTGGTGTTTACGATTCACCAGTTGCGTTCAATCGCCAAAGTCTGCTCATCATAACTGCACCGACTGACAATATATTGTGTGTTTGTTTTGTTTTCGAACATGTCTACTCTGAATTTTTTGGATTATAGTATTAATATTTTTCATTAATACACAACAAGATTGCCACTTTTCCTAAGTATACTGACACGCAAAAGAAACGCAACACCCTACTTTAGGGGGAAATGATTATGTAAAGTAAAGAATTTTGTATCTTAAAATTATGAATATCTTCAATTTGGTAAACATCAGTAAATTAACCGTTGAACGATTCCCATATCATAACCGGAAGTCAAGTTTTAGTCTGCCTAACAGAAATCAAAAATTGCATTTTTAACAAAACAATTTGCAATATTATGGAGTTTTAAGATTTTTTTTTGTTGTTCATCATAAGTAATGCAGCAATATTTCAAAAAATAAACTCTACTTTCGTTTCCCGAAACAATGCTATGGCTACTTGAAAATGGCTTATGTACGCATTTTCATTGCTCTAGCTGGAAAATTTCAATGTAAAGGTGATGGAGAGTTGCTGATGCTAAATTTCATATCATTTTGCCTCAACAGGGTCTTACGTATAATATGCATTAAGGACAGTTATTGTACCGGAAGTCCAAGGGTGACTACACTGCTCTAAGTAAGAGAAAATTCGACCTAATTATCTGAAAAACGGGCATTTAAAAATGTCAAAGAATAATTCCTTCGCGGAGATCTCGATATTAATGAACCTATTGTATCGTTGAAATTAAGTTGCAATTGTTGTTTAGGGCAGTCTTGCAGGTTTAACTTACATGGCTGGGAGGGGGTTGTTTTAACAGTCATATTTTACTTAGTAAAGTAAACATATAAACATTTAACGTTTTTATCAAATCTCTGATGTTCTGAAAAGTGAATTAAGCCTTACTTTATTCGCTTTTGAAAATCATAAGACTAAAAAATCAAACATTTGTAAATTATTGCTTGTTGCTTTTCTTTTGCGTGTCAGTATATGAAGAATAAAATTAAAATTTGTGAAAGTGCAAGGATGTGTCAATTAAACCCGCCCAAAAAATTAAAATTTTTATTTTTTAAATGAAATAAGATTTTTGATTAATTTTTGTGTGAAATGCTATCAAAATATATAAGTCGTAATATTCTAGAGAAAATATTAGCTTCAAATCTGTGTCCAAGTACCTTTAAATTTTAAAAGTATCAGGATCAGACAGCCAAGTACCTTAGTTTTATTTCTTATATTGTCAATCTATGTTGTTTTATTTTATTTTCCCCCTTTTGGGGGGACTATTTTAATTGTAAAAAAAAACTTTTTAAAAAAATGAAAAATCTTCAAAGATTACATCTAACAAAAGATGACCGCACTTAACGCTGTGTTTTG